CAAACTTTTTACAGTGTGTACCACCTGATAAAAATGTCAAGCTCTCCTAAGTACCACTATGAAAGAATGAAACCCATAAATCTTACAACACAAAATTAGTATTATTAAATTAGTAAAATTAGTGTCTGCAGTAAATACTTTTATTTGTAATAATTTATTCTGTTTTGGGAGTGTTTTTTTTTTTTTAATGTATCTGTATTACATTATACATACACATTAAAAGTGAATCTCTGTCCAAAAAATGCACTCGGTTTACTTTTTACTCACTATGAGCATCATTCATTATTCTCCCCCAGTAATTAAGGTTAGGATATGTAATTTTTTTATTCCAATCCATTCTTCTTTGGCAGCATTTAAATAACCTTTATCAGATTTGATGGTTTTGTTACAGACTTTTCAAAAAAGTGTTTTGCTTTTCTTTTTACAAATGTGGGGATTAAATTGTGTTAAAATGTACAAAACAGTGACGTCATGTTTTGAGACGAGGACCCAGGGACAGAGAGACTTGATGAATTTAAGAATCATATGATTTATCTTGCCTGGCTGGGCAGCTCTCTGGGTGCTCAGCACCCCCAAAGCTCTAATCCTAGAATCGCCCCTGGCTGCAACAATGAGTGATGTCACTGTGAAGATCAAAAATCTAACAGTTGTTTTTTTGTGCTCCTAGTTTGATCATCATGGGAAGGAAATAATAAAGAACTAAGAGCTAAGTTTGTTGTTGTTTGATGCAAAGGCTGCGAGGAAAATGGAGCAAGGCTGTTGCATATGAAAAAAAAGGGCAACAAAACAAAGACTCTCATAGAATATTCATCAATTCTGCTCCAACACTACAGCTTTAATAAGGAGAAAAACAAACCCAATCAGCCCCACATCAGCGGTTATGAACAACAATATAATCGCTACATTATATATGAAAACGGAGAAATTATCATATCATCCACATCACTGTGATCCAGCAGCACCTACTATGGCAGCAGGAGAATGGTGTATATGTAACCTCTAAAACACTGGTGTGTGCTTTCTCTAATATCAAATCAAACAGATTTCATCAGCACGGGCACATTCATAAAAGATAATCGTGCACGGGAAATAAATAGAGAAAAGCTTTTTCATTACCTCCTCATCACATATAGATCAAACATTTATTACCCTTGATCAAACATTCATTACCCCGTGCATTTAAAAAAGTAAGTAGACAGAGCTCACATTACTCACTGTCAACACAGTCTGCACTTTCATTGTGTTTTTATCTTTCTAGTATCAGAATTAGTAACACTTTAATCAGTCTGGCAATAAGTATACACGAGTATGTTTAATAGAAAGAAATTGAAAGAAAAACATGCATTGAATATTTTATCATCTGCATACAGAAACCACTCAAAAGGTTTCACTTTCTTTCCCTTCAGCCTATGGCCCAACAAAGCAGCTGTTCTGATTTCTTCAGACTGAACCTGGCCATTGGCATGTGTCCTCCTTAGCTCCAGCCGTCATTATCCATCTTCATCTCTCCCTCCATCTGAGCAGATAGCTCGCTCTACCTCCACTTCCTCTTCACCTATTCTGTCTGTAACAATCCTCACTCGTGTTCACTGCAGTGAACCCAGTAGTCCTGCAGTAGACCTCGACCGTTGGAAGCGATAAAAAACAAACGCACAAGTGATTTTAATTTTTTTTTTTTTTTGCATTAAAGCACCAGGAGGCCCCTACTGCAAGGTCTAATCATATTTACAGCAATCTATCAAAATATATTTATTTCACCTGTCGATACAAATGCTTCCAAACGTCTTTACCTCCTTTTAAGCACCTATCTCTTTAAAGTTTTTGGCTTTCTGTTTAATTTTACTCATGTTGGAAGAAATATTATACACTACTAAATATATGTTTGTGGTGTTTTATATACTAAATGCTAATTTGTGTGACTAATTAGTGAAATCTTGTTCAGATTTGATTTGATACTAATGAATGTATGTGTCACAGGTTTGATCGACAGCTTACGTGTGCATGTTGGAGCTTATTTTGTTAAGAGAATATTCAAAAACTAAGAGTGGATGTGAAGGAAACGTTATACAGTAGATTCAGATGCTTCACCAAAATTTTGCACTAACTGTTTGGGAATTACACATTGTTTTATACAGAGTCTCTATTTTCAGAGTCTTAAAATGAACTTGACAAGCTAACATAATTTTATATATAAGAACTCTTTTTAATCATCTTTGCATTCAGAGACTGTCTGACGCCTGTGATGCTCTGCCAGGCTTTTACTGCAGCCACTTTCAGCTCCTGTTTGTTTGTGGGTCTCTGTGCCTTCATTTTGTCTTCAACATGACCTTTTGCCATTGAAGAGTATTTCCGTTTTTTGCCTTGAGAAACTCTTGGGTTACTACTACAATATACTTTGGGTCATTATCCATTTGTACTGTGAAGCCCAATTAGTTTTGCAGCATTTAGCTGAATCTGAGCAGAGATTATATCCCTGTACACTTCAAAATTCACCCTTCTGCTTCTATCAGTAGTCACATCATTGATGAACATTAGTGGCAGCCATACATGACAATGCCACAACACTGCTTCCACCATGTTTGAATAATCTTCACCTCATGAGCTGTTCCTTCCCGTTCTCTATGCTTTGGTCTTCCCATCATTTTGATACTGATTACTCTTGGTTTCATCTTGACAAAGATTTTTTATAACTGTGCAGACTCTTTTAGATGCTTTCTGGCAGCGTTTAATCTGGCCTTCTTGTTCTTGAGTGTAAGCAGTGGTTTGGACCATGTAAACAAACACCTTGTTGTGTGTTTACAAGGCCAAAGATCATCTACCAATTGGAAAGTCCGTGGTTGGCTCCCTTCCTGCATGTGAGTTTGTGAATATTACATTAAAAGTGCTTATGCACAGAGAAAAGCACATAAGCGATTGAAGATTGTGGTTAAAAAAAAAAGTGCTTTGGTTGATCAAATAGAGCAGAAAAAGCCATATAATTATAGTTTATTTTTACTATTACATTCAATTGGGATAAGCTTAACGGCAATCTTACAAATTTAAAACAAGATGCTTGACAGACAGCTTGCATGTGTGCGTATGGGGAAAAAAAACCCTGCAACAACACAGAAATGGAATTTAAAAACAAGAAGCATCACAGAGCAGCGGCAGAGTGACGCGGCCGTCACTCATGGAGACCTGCGTAGTAGCTGCTCTTCATCATGACTCTGAGAACATGGGAAGCCGGCGCACAGACAGTGCTGCCAGACCCAATAACGTAAACATAATGAGCTGTAGTGTTTGGAGGGAACAGCCAAGTGTTAGTTTCTGCACCCTCCGCACCAGCTTGTGAGCTTCTCCCGTTGCCTGGCCTTGAGCATGGTTAGATAACACTGCATTAGATAACGGTGCACAAAACTTAAGAAAATGCCTGTTGGCTTCTTTCAGCACACATTATCAACAACAAACGGCAACAAGGCAACAAACAAAACTTATGATGAAAACTTGCTCTGATTTGGATTCTTTTATTTTACTTTTATTCTCTTATTCACCTTGTTGCAAAAAAAAAAAAGATATGCTTGTTATACAGGAGAAGAAATATAAGAAGCTAAGAGATGCATATGTCCTCATTATAAGATGCTGTGATAAAAAACAATGTTTTAGGCTCATATAGTTTCATGTAAACTATGAAATTCAAAGATTCCTGTGAGTTATTCTGTCTCACAGCAAAACAAAAATCGGTAATTTAATTTCACCAACAACAGCATGCTTGCATTTTTCACTCAAGCAAAAATATGGTTAAAAATAGCTACTACTCTGCATTTAGTAAAACGTGTCTTTGCATAATAATGGCTACTTGCTCCTTTGAGAAGGTAAATGAAAGCAGCTCCTAGACTCCCTGTTCTCTTTTTATGCAGATGATGATGCTGTCTGGGGAGACTGTCATTACAATAGCGATGGTTTGATTTTGCAGCTGTTTTTTTTTTTTTTTTTGCATGAAAGAATAGCTGAGAATGGGCGTAAAATAAAAGGAGGGTGTCGTGAGGTGAGTAGGGCGCCAATGTCATAGAGTAGTGTAATGAAAGAGTAGGTGAAGGAAGAGGACAGATAAGCAGGGAGGCTATAAACAGTGAGATATAATACAACGACAATGTAAGAAGATAGCAAGAAGAAACTGAGGGAAAGAAGGGAAGTGGTTAAAAAATAAATAAATAGAGTCAGTACTGCACCTTTCTGCAGACTCATGTCTACCATGCGAGGTTCGGCCAGCTCCAGGAAGAAGTTCTTGTTTTTCTCATACTCCTCATCGTCAATTATTTTCACGTGAACAAATTTGCTGCAAGAGGGAGGAGGGGAGGAGGAAGGGGGGCGTGAGAGAAAAAAGGACAGAAGGAGAGAGAGGGGAAAGAGAAGAAGAAAAAGGTTAATTTGTGATGGAGGGACACAGGAAGTGTGCTGTAAGTAGGATTAATAATCAGCATGGAAGAAAGGTTAGGAGGTGGAAGGTCAGCTTGCTTTGGACCAGCCTGTCTGTCAGCAGCTGGACATGACACACACACTGGTTTCAGTGAGCTCATTGGCTCCAACGGGTGTCATGACAACCACATTTATCACGTTGCCAGACACAAGTGGAACGAGTAAGAGGGAGGTGGGGGACGTTGAGAAGCACTCCACGGCAGGGCAGATAAAAAGAGCACAATGAACTGAAAACAGCAGCGTGTAATCACTCGGGTTGTAAAATGTGTAAACGAACATTTCGCAAGGGCAAGAAGGTGAATGAAGGATAAATGAAAAAAACTGCCACTACTCCCTAAATTGATTTTTGCGGCTCAGTGTTTCAGTCAGAACCCCTTTAAACGAGATGGCCGGCTGGACACAGCGAGAGCTCGGCCAACTCTCGAGGCACAGACGTGGCAGAGGGAAGAGAGAAGTAGCTCGTTGCTGAGTTCACTGCTCCGGTTTGGGGAGAACACCCCTTTAATGAAGTGGAATGTCTGGAGGGCTCAGGCTCCTTCTCTGGAAAAGGACTGCTTGTGACATCATCACACAGAAACAGCTCAATATGGCACCTCAGCCCCAGCAGCGTTCTCACCACTGATCGCCCTAATTGATCTTTATAAAGAGTTATCGACAAGCGCAGGCAGTTAAGTGGTCAGTAGGTACCCAGATGCCTCAGTGCCTTGCCATATCGCAGCAGGAACTCCTCGAGGAACAGCTCTGTTGGATTCACGAAAACAGCTCATCGCACGTTGTCTGGTGCTGGAAAATATAAGCAAATTCAAGTCTTGCTGCATCCACTATATCAAGGCCTTGAAAGCATTCCCTGCAAGCACAGACAGGTCAACAATACTTAACGGCGACGCTGCCGCCCCTCAGATAGGGATGACACACTTCATTATGCGTCTGACATCTTCACAGGAAGACGCTTTTCGTCTTCATCTGCCAAAAAACACAATTTTCCGCATGTTATTTAAGGAAAGTACTTGGAGAGCAGGGTTTCAGCTAATACGATAAGTAGCAGGGAAGCATTCATTATGGATAGCTGCTCATGTATCATGTATCAAGTCAAAAAGCAGCTCCCTCTCCCAAAATCCCGCTGATGTACTTCCAGCACCATGACACGTAGCGCCGCTTGTGTCAGTCAAAGCACTGACACGCACAGAAGTCTGCCGCACAAACCAGCATGCTGCACACATGCCACGCATATAAAACTCCTAATCCGAGCATCTCGAGAGGAATGAAAATGCATAAGTAACCTTGCTGTAATGTATAGCCAAATTCCTGTCTCTGCCCGGGGTATTTTCTAGATCTGAATTTGAATTGCTGCGGGGTGTGAGCCTACAGTTTCAACCTGTTAAGCACAAAGAAGATCCATGTTTGTCTTTCCCCCTCTCCTTTCACATTAGATCGGCAGGTGAGACGTCTCCAGTGCTGTGAAAAGCGCCTCGGTTGTCATCAGGACTGAAGGAAGAAAGACCTGGAGTCTAATGAGCAAGTGGAACACGGCAAACACACACATACACACACACACATGGCCTGGCTGCTGTAGGCAACGGTAATCTGGCCTGACATTCACAGCGAAGCTACAAATGCAGCCTCTCGATTAATCTAATCCCACATGCAAAAACCCCCAAAAACAGCTACATATGACGCTGAGTAAGAAGGAGCTACAGGACCCAGATTCCCAACTTTCTCTACGCACTTACTACAGTTTTCATGCTATCCTTGCTCTTAGATCCTTAGGTTGATTTAGAAAAAGGCAACAAGTAATTAGACAAGTGAAATTTTTTATGTCTTAAACCTAAAAGAGTCACATTAGACACAATAATCTTAAAGTTATTGGGTTTCTGCACTGCTTAAACCTAATATAGTGGAAAATCATCTGGAAAAAAAATATAATCATATTTAATTTTCCATGACAGTTTGACCAACCTGACAAGGGACCGATGCCAATGAAAATGATATTCTAATAATAAACGACCATATTAGTGTTATTGAGTAACTTCTCAAAGAATTAGTCACATTCATTAGATTCTCTGGACATTTAGCAGGCAAATGAGTAAATGAGATACAAAATTAATTTTTTTTTGTTTGTGTTGATAACATCATGCTTTTGGAGCCTCTTCAACTGAAGTCAATAATAACCTTTCTGCATATTGGATACTACACTCCTGCACATCCAATAGGCTCTGGTTTTAGGCTTTTAAAAATCTAGGCCAGGGGTCTCCAACTCCAGGCCTCGAGGGCCGGTGTCCTGCAGTTTTTAGATGTGTCCTTGATCCAACACAGCTGATTCAAATGGCTAAATTACCTCCTCAACATGTCTTGAAGTTCTCCAGAGGCCTGGTAATGAACTAATCATTTGATTCAGGTGTGTAGACCCAGAGTGAGATCTAAAACCTGCAGGACACCGGCCCTTGAGGCCTGGAGTTGGAGACCCCTGATCTAGGCAATGAAAGGAGATTTTATCCAATCATTTCAGAACATGTGTTCATATGCCCAGGCTCGTCCGGTGGGAGCGTTTTATCTATGTTTTGGCCTATAGGATTACTGCAACTTTTAAATGGCAAATGTTGAGGCTCATTGGTTGCCAAGAAGTAGCGCCCCCTGTATTAGAGTTTGCAGGGATGGTAATGGCATAGGACGAAGGTAAAGGGGCAGCTATGGACTATGGTTCACTCCCCCGCGAAGTTATACACTTTTCTCACCTGCTGGTTTAAAAAACTAAAAACTATTTGTTTTTTTTATTGTAAAAGACTGTGGTTTGGTTTTAAACACACACCTTCACATAAGTAATGCTTTATGTTGACAAGTTGGAAGTGACAGCCCTGTCTCACTAATGCCACAACCTAGTGTGTCACGCACCACCGCCAAAGGACACCTTGTGCGTAAGCGAGACACAGTGAGCAAGTGAGAAAAAGAAGAGGAAGGGTGAGAAGATAAGAGATAATAGAAAAGGAGTCCATATAATAAGTCCTTATTATACGTTTGTGTATGACTGGTGGCAAAACAAGGAAAAGAAAATATCTGTGTCCTGCAGTGTTCCCTTTTTCTAATTTAGAGTAATATTCACACCCGTGGCCAACACTTCACAAAGCATCGCAATCATAACTGCCGACAGGCTAAATATAATCACGCACAAACCTATACAGTGCTTAACAAATTTATGTAAACATCTGTCGTTAAAACAAGAAAACAAATGTTTTGGAAATCTGTCAAAAACTCAGTCATGTCCAGAGGGTCGGCTCAAATTTGGTTATAACAACATTAATACGGTTTTGTTATTTGCAAAATAAAAACCATTATTTTTAGTTTTGAACAAGTCAGAAATGAATCATGCATAACATTCAGCCACTTAAAAATGACTCACACAAACAATTAATTTTGGCAAGTAATTTGGCATTATAATAAAAAATAATAATAACACACTCGACTATTTTTTATGCATTTTTTGCAAAATGGTAAATTTGAAAATTCATGGATAGCATTAAAAATGTCATTCAGATTACAAGACTAGCACACACTAGTAGGTTAAACATTATTTTGGTAATTACCAATACTGTAGGATAGCTGTGGCATAAACCTTAAACTGGGTGGGGTTTAATAAATTTGTTAGACACTGTGCATGACATGAGATTTGTTTGTGAAAATTGCCAATAATTCGTTCATTCAGGCAGGTTGATACAGTTTGTGTGAGTGCATTGTCAAACATCTGCTGTGCACACTGACGCAAACCAGAGTGTTTAAAGAGAAGTTTTAATATCGCCTTTATCTACAGGGAGTGGTGTAATAGCAAAGCTTTGGATTGATGTGTTGACATAAAAGACACAGAGGGTTTGATAAAGTGATACAGTATACACAGACACACAAAGTACTGTAAGCTTCTGCTGCTCTGGTTTTAATTATAGTTTTTTGATACATTTTTTGAGTATGAGCTGCTGTGATATTAGTTTTTACATTTTACATTAGTGTAACAGGTATTTTCATGAACCAGTTGAGATGTGATTATCTAAACAACTTATCTTTAGTCATTCTTTGTGCAGTTAGCTTGACATGCGCATTACATGCATGACATGGAAGTAAATAGTGGATGTTATTCTACCTTTAGTTATAAAAACAGGCTAATAGTGATAACACAGGGACAAAGGTGGCAGATGGTGGCTTTACACATTAGCACAGGATGCCATAGCTTAATATACAGTAGTGTGCAGCAGTCTTGAGCCACCCCTCATTTCTTTCGATTTTGCTGCTAAGGAGCCGGACTTTTTTAAGCTCCTAGGACCTGGCGTCCACATGTGTGGACATCACATTTTGGGTCGTCTAGACCAAAATACTAAATTTTGCTCTACAAGTGCCTGATTATAATTATACTGATTATACGAGGACATTATACTGCCACTGTTCTATCGAAATTTAAAGCAAATGTCCTCATGTGGATCTCATTGTTCTCAGAAAATACAAAATCAGGTTAAAAAAAATTAAAATAATCTTTGTTTTTACATTCATCAGGTCCCAATCAGTCCAAAGAGCAAAGAGACATTAAAAATGCATGTCATGAAAGAGTTCAGGTTTTAGGAGGTTGTGATCTTGAGCAGTAGTTCTTCAGGCTTTCTGAAGCATTTTTTCTTTGGACATTGTTGGCCTTTTCACTCATTTTCATTCCAGTCCTTGTACATGATCATTTTCAGAGGAATGTTTTTTTGTTAAGCCACTCAATACTGACCTATGAATCATTCAAGCATAAAAAAGGCACCTAACTCAAGTGATGCACCAGTATTGTGCCTGTATATTACAGTCAAAGAAACAATTTTAAATGTTATCTTTTGGCACTTTGTT